CGCGACCGCCCCTAACGCAGCCGTTAGGTTAGGTTCACGCGCTAGCTTGATTAGGGCCTCCCTCCGTGCACCCGTAACACGCACGTTTCCCGCCACCCAATGTCCGCGCACGATGATTTCACTGACTGTGCTGGAGGCTGCGAGCGTACCCACGTGTACCAGCGCGACGCGCGACGAAGGTTATGCTCGCGATGCCGCGACAACAAAGCGCTGCGTCTCGGACTACTCGGCCGCACAAAGAGCGTTATCCCGTGCTCTCTCGACTCTCGTTCCAGCGAGTTTGACTCGCGTCGCTTAATTCGCTGCGAATCGATTCGACGTGATTCGAATTGGCACCGTTCGATTCAACGAGGGGACTCGTCTTCGATACGCTACACTCGCTACGAGTATTTTCGAAGGCCGCGTAAAGTCGGCGAAAGCGTCTGGCCATCCCCTCGTTGGTCGCGGGAATAGAGCATCGCGGGTGAGCTTCACAATGCACCGTTGTGCCGACCCGATTGCGACTTATCGCCGGCTGCAACGGCGCGGCTGTACGATAACGAACCAGCTTCGGACGTCTCGAGCGTTTTAGCGCGGGATCGGCGAAGCCATCTCGAAGCGTCTACGGAGAGATTTTGGAAATTTCCTGCGGAAGAAGAAGAGGAAGAAGAAGAGGAAGAAGAATGGAAAGCAGCGTACCAGCCGACGAAGTTCTCGGCCACGAAACGAATTTAACGATCGCTCTCGCACATGGAAAGAGAGAGCCCGCAGGAGGAATGCCGTCGGTGGCTAGATGGCTGCGCTGGCATCGCGTCCCGAAAGACTCGAGCAGAGCGCACCGGAGGAAGAAAAGTGCGCGGCTCGTGCACGCCTATATTTATCCGAGGATGCAATATTTGGCCGCGTCTTCTAGAGACTCGACCGGCCACGTTCGTCCCAACTTCGAGCGCGCGGATGGGCGCATGAACGAACGCAGCCTCGGAGCAGCAGCCTACGCCTCTCTCTCTTTTTCCCTCTTTCTCTCCTTTCTCTCCCTCTCCCCCTCTCTCTCCTCTCTTCTCCTTTTTTTCCTCCTCTTTCCTCGTGTCCTTCTTCATCCGCCTCTTCTCTTCGCCGCTCCTTCTTCTGCTTTATCACAATGAGCGACCGCGTGTGCGTGTCCGTGTCGTTAGGCAGTAGCTGTCGGTGCAGGCGTGGTTGGTTCCTTGCCCTCTGTCGCGTATTTATATCTAGCGAGTAGAGCGAATGCATTGCGGCTCGCTTCTTGTTTGCCGGGTCCGCTCTCGCTTCTCTCTTTCTTCGTTCGACGATGCTGTTCGTCGTCGACTCGCTTCGTCCGCTCGCTCGCTCGGTCCTACGTTCGTTTATCCTCTCCCTCGCTCGCTCGCTCGCGCCCCGGCCCTCGTCAAACCTGCTCCGAGCAACGTTAACGCCTAGCGCCGGCTAATCACCGGGATACGCTGATTTTTCTTTCGCTCGCCGATCTACTTGTCCGCGATTCGCGATTTTCGGCCCCCTTTCTCCGTCTCTTCCTCGTCCGAGTACCTTTCTCGCGTTATCTCTCTGTTGGCCGACGAACGCCGGTCATTAACCGATTCGTAAGTTCGACGTCTGACTTTTCTTGCGTCGTTCATCGCGACGCTACCGACGTAGATATCGACGCGTATCGCGATCAGTTTGCGACAGGATAGCAACAATCGCGTACAAACTTTCTTACGAACATGTTCAAAAATGGAAGGCACTCTTGTATAAGCATCTTGGATCAAACGGGTCTCGAGTTTCGAGATTAGTTTCGTCGAAATAAAATATCGATCCGTGGAGAAAACGTTGCCGTTCGATAAGGGTTAATTTGCAAATATCTCGAGCGATCGTCTTCGAACGAAAACGTGTTCGACGAGCGACGAAGACGGAGAATCGGAAACGAACGGAGAACGCGTACGTAGCAAAAAGTGGACCACGGGAGCGGTCGTATTGGTCTTTGGTTCCATTATAGCATCCTTGGTCGCGTATTACCATTCACTTTTTGTTCTAGTCGGTCCTACGGTGCTCCGTTAAATCCGCTCTAGAAAGAGCGCGTTTCGCTTAGCGGTTCGCGTGACGAGTTATAATTTCCAACAGTGTTGCGAAGAAGCAGTTTAGAATGTTTCGATTCGAAAGGCGTTCGTAATTTTACGACATCCGGCGTCGCACGGTTGACGCGCCCCTCTGCATCCCGCCGAACTACGTTATTAAAATAACGTGTAATCGCGAGATTACGCTCTTATTTCTACCGGTTATGCTCGCCTCCTCTCTATCTTCGATTCTACGATTCGAGGAAACGATGGATTAATCGCGTTCTTCCTGCGTAGCGATACGTTGCCGATTCCTCGAACCGTCGCGATTCTCTGGTTCGTATGCAGGGTCACCGTGTTTTCGCCGCAAACTACAAATTACAGTGATCGTCCGTAACTCGAAGCGCGAAATAAGAATAGGACGTTTCGTGAACGCGGCTCGTAAGGAGCGTAAGGAGCGGAGATTCCGAACGATTACAGTATGTGTACTTTGGGTCGACGGTACAGTGGAACGATTGTTCGGCTATCAATGAAACGAAGCGATCGACGCTCGCGGTAATAGAATGGCGAAATAGACGTACCTACGACGATACAATGAACCGTTT